TTATGCAGTAGACAAATAAAGCATCCAAGCGAAAAAAACGTACTCATTATTTGTAGATCTCGTTATATATATATATATATATATAAATATATATATATATATAACATATATATATATATATAATAAGCATATATATAATGTTTTACACTCATCGACTTAAGATAAAAGCAATGAAGATCCATTGCACTAATATAAGAGGCTAAGTTTTATTACCTGTATTGGTTGTTTGATCTATTGTTTGACTCTACAAATAATGAGTACGTTTTTTTCACTTGGATGCTTTATTTGTCTACTGCATAAGACAAATATAGCTAACAAGGAATTTCTTTAAAATAATCAGATATATCTATATTAGGTATGTTTTATATATATATATATATATATATATAGTGGATTAATAACCTTTACCAATTTAATATGGACATTTAGGTGAACTTATGAATTGGAAGTTGTTAGTGAACTTCAGGTAATGATTACTGCTAGTGTTTGTCTCATGAAAACACTACCATTAACGATTGGCCTCGAGTGGACAAGATCGATGAACAGACTGACTTTGGTTGTGAGCGCCAGTCAATTGTAGTCTAACATGCGTAGTTAACTGGCTTAAAAAAAAAGTGTTTCTACTATCGATCAGCTCCAAGTGTCCGCACTGTATATCAGGTTTTCGATAGCATCATCTGCTGCCTTCAGTAAAAACAGCTGAAAAAAATCAAGGCACCCCAATCAATCCCACAACAAGGTGAAGCGTATCAGAGACGCACCCAAATTATCTTTCTTTTCTCTTCTATTCGCATCAGTCTGTTCCGGAAGCCGACAACACAGTCGGTAGGTTAACAATTGGAAAATTTCATGCCTCGCCTATAAAGGTTGAATTATGATGGCAAGTAGATTCCTAAAGCCAAATTTGTTACCGTATATTTCGGGTCGAAAGCAGCAACAGATGGAGGAACTGGTTCCGCGTGTTCGTCGGTGACCGAATCAACCTGGGCCCGAGGTGCCGCCCGCGCTTTTGGCGACTTTGCCGAATTTAATGAGAGAACGCTGGCTGTCGTCACGGCCGGCGAACTCGTTTTTCTATTGATATCATATTCGCTACGACCGGCCAGCCATCGACTGCCATTAGCATTAGCCATAATTAAGAACGTATCGGGCGACACAGAAGGTCGGCCAGGGAGTAGATTGAGACGTCGATCGCGCGCACACTTTGAACTGGGGGCGCTTTGGTAATCAGTGCTGGAGAACTTGCAACCTATACGATTACACACAACGTGTTAGATAAAATGTTTTGCTAGAAAACGGAGGACCACTTACATAGTCGAGTGGAGAGTGACTCAAAAGCAGACATGCTCCCCTTTCTTGTTATCTTAATCGTATCAGAATACTGCGCATTGATCTTCACCACAAATGGAATACACTGATCAACGTACACATTGCCGTTACCTAGTCGGGTTGCATACTATCGAATTTCTATTTTTATTTTCGTACTCGTTATTTTTAGTGGTATCACGAACAGTACCCATATCTATTGTCAGCAAATGATATTTTCGGTAATATGAAATTGATGCGTGTATCGGCATTGGATTATTTTAATCCTTGCTATTCGATTATAACGTATGGCAATTGCTCGGGTAAAATTACCGTTTGTCACATCTTAAATTACCTAGGTGAGTTCATTCCTGCATGAACCATGCACGAACGAAATGCATCAGAACTTAGTACTGGGAAACAACACGCAGCCAGCCACTACATCCAGGCATATATGACAAGACGATATTAGCTAATTAAAGTAACAGTTCTTGCTGCAAGCTTCTCAGATGGCAAGTTCTCGGTGTCGTACTTACCACGAACTTCGGCACCGTCATATAGCGTTATCGTGTTCATCTCGTGGGCGTAGCACCAACAATTTCCCCCCTTACGAAGCACCGACAATCTGCAGAGGGCGAGCACAAAAGGAAATTTGCCGCTCGCACTACTTGGAACCTTTTTTTTTGTGAGATTTAAGCGTTAAATTTATCTTTATGGCTAGTAGACAAATTTAGCCCCTTGGTTTGCGTTAACCGTACGTACCTATGAACGCATATGGTTGTTATACGGGACAGATTGCACGATTCATCATTTATGTTTTTTGGGGAATTATTCCTGTTTGTCGCTCGGTCAAAGCTAAATAGTAATCATGACTTTATGGGGACGATTTGAGACATATCATGCTTCTTTCTGCTTTTAAATTTCGATGATTTGAACAATTCGTCTATGGCAAGAAACCAATAGTATTTGCGTAATCCTAAGGCTGGCCTTACCTAGAAGCTTCAAAAGGTCACTAGTTTTATTTGCTATTATTAAATTAGGCTACTTAGGTATTGAAATAAACCTTAGCAGTAGGTAGTTGTAATGTACTTGCCTTTTTCTTTTTCGATACAGCCTTCACGATACAAGAAGTAATAAATTTATTCTACCTGGTTTTTCCCATGATACAGCAGAAGGCACTTCGAATAATATCCAGTAACCATAACATTGCGTTTCAGATAGACAGAGAATGATCGATAGGTGTTTTTGAAGTGGTTATTTATTTCCATTTTCAAAACTTCATTAATTTTAAGTTAAAGAGTTGACTTTTTCGGTTGATATCGACGGTTCCGTGCCTGAAAGTAGCAAAATTTAAGGCCGCTTGAACAGTCCATTGCTTAGATAAGCCAATAGGGCAATAAGAACTGTACATAAATAGACAACAACAAAGATCAGCTTTACGGTGATACCTTTAGATGTCCCGTTATGGGTAAACGTTTTTAAATAATTATATCTAGGTCCCTCATGGTGATTAGATCATTGTCTTAATATACGTGTTGTCATTATGTTGTCATTTGGCCTGAAATTTGCCCCATACAAGAAAAGACCAGAGCTTGCGTAATCATTTATTATTTAATCGATGTCCTTAACGTAACCTTGACACAAATATAGACGTGCTTAGAAATAGGGCTCATGGTCACATCCAAAAAAATATTTCTTTCTACTGAAATCTATTACCGCTCAAGATATTCGCTAGGAATTTGAAGCACACTCTGTGAAACGGTATAATTTCTTCTAGAGACTTGGCGACCCCTTTAATATGACATCAGCAGCAGTAATCTACTCATCTGCTCTGCCAAAAGTGAAGCTCTATACGTATGCTGTTAACTATTTGGGTTATTTGAGAGACGTTACATAGGTGAGATCGCACGCGTCCATGGAGCTATCTAAACCAGGATGCCAGCTTGCAGTCCTTGTTGGACCGCTTCTACGGACCTCCTTCAACGGCTGACAAAATGGCGGCGATCCCGTCGTGCCAACAAACTGTACACTCCCTCCAGGCGCTAACTCACTACCGTCAGGCTTAATGGCATTTCGTTCTCGGACGCGTTGACATTTGCGTTTGTTACGTTCCTCTTTATCACCCTGAGTAAAAACCAATAATGAGCGGTTATCACAAGACAATTAAGGTTATTACATTTAACGTCCTATATTATGTGAAGGTTTATGCTGCCAATCCAAAACAGTAGCTGCTGTTAGATGAATGAAACATGCAGTTAGATTGCTTTAGAACCTTCTTGAGACGGATGGTGTGGAAAACGATATATATATATATACACACTCCCAAATATGAAGCATCCTTCATGTCTCCCAATACCCTCCATAGGGATATGTCCTTCGTGCATTACTCAGTTTTTGTCTGTATCTTTCCGATGTTTTGAAAAGTTTTCTTCCAGATCAAAGATACTGAGTTCCAGGCGCTTCATATTTGGGGTTCATATATCTTTCCCAAGAATTTGCATCACGCATTAACATGACCCGAATGTCCCTTTTCTTTGTGAAGGGTAAAAAGGTCACGGTCGAGATAATATGATCATTCCTGTCCTTGAGTATTGTATATATTATATAAAAGTAAGTCGCTTATGCACACGAACGACCCTGCTCGTTGTGGCGTGGAACTACTGAAGTATTTGCGCCACCGCTCCCTAACAGACTTTCGTCTTCGCGAAAAAAAAATCTCTTTGTGTTGTAGACGTGCTCTTGAATTATATATATCCGGTTTTATCTACATACGTGTACGTAACGTTAAACATTAGTGTAATAAGAACATTGTATCTCACCTCGTAACGGTAGGGTACGAACGTGCAATTGCGGCCCTTGTTAAGTTCTCGATCAGCCGAGCGGGCAGTTCATACGAAGTAATCATAACTGCGCCGATGGTCACACATCACTGCAGAAATAAGACCAACAAACCCACTAAAATATTCGTAGTATATCGAACGTAAGTTAGGTTTTTCGAATAAACAGGCATAGCAAATAATCGAGAACTATTGATTCGTTTAGAGAGACAAAGACTGCGATAGAATGTGGGCAGTTAGGGTAAAGCTTCAAGCAACAAAGATCATTTGAAAAACATGTGCCCACTTTTTCTAAAATGATTACCGGTAACGTTTCTAAAAAGACCCGGCGTTGTTTAGGCTCGCTGCCCAGTTTTTTTTTTTAGCCGAGAATCATTATCCGCTGAGCCCACGTTTTCTAACGCTTTAGAATGCTGCTATGAAAGTTGTGAAAGCGATAGTCTGCGCTTCCTCCTAGTTTTCCTGGATGAGGAAAGATCTAAAGCTATCCTTAAGTGTTTGTTTGTCTAACCGTCGTTACTTGTGTCCTGGCAAATATCGTATAGTAAGTGGCTACTTACGTTTTGAGCACCCCGGCTAATACGAATCGCCACTTATGAAGATATCGAGATGACCGAGAACGCGTCCTCTAATAGTGCTGCCGAATGTATAAAGCTAAGCGTTGCCTAACACAGACGCTCTCTTCATGCACAAGTATATTTTTCCCACAAACTTTTCATTCATCATGGCGTTTGTTCTGCGCTAGACACTAACCAATGACGTAAATCTCTCCAGGCTCTAACCCTTAACTTTTCTCTATGCATAGTATTACTTGGGAGTTACTTTCTAGCCAGTTTTCATAGAGGCCTGCTAGTGAAATTGGTTTCGTATGCCAAAACTACGCAGGGGAAATGTATATTTCTTTAAATTTGAAACACACGTAAACGCATAGTTGGGCAGTTGGTTGCGTCTGAAGTATACACTGGTCATTTTTTTAGTTGGCAATCTTTTATGTCCATGGTTATATGTGTAAAATTTTAATATAGATAGAGATCGATTTTGGATTTCACAAAAAAGATAAGTTAAACAAATTGTACTAACGCTTTAAAAAGCTTTTCCGTAGTTTACTTTCAGCTGTCTCGCTTAAGATAGGCCCCGGTATAACCTCACCGCCTCTCTTATTGCTTATGTATTTATTTTATTCCTCCTTCAAAGCTCCTTGTCATCCAGATTCGAATCCAGGCTGCCTATGTTTTCATCTAGTTAGCAAACACAGGGAATATATACACTCAGTCGTATATTAGGTGGCGGTAATTATGAGTAAACTCATTTTAAACTGCTGTATTATGGCTCACGGACCCGCTTAGCAACAGACTATTATATGTCTCCATATTAATAAGTTAAGGTACATTCATATTGATTTACTTTAAGGCGAGGCGTTGAATCGCGTACAGGTAAGCACAGCAGCTGCGAAGAAGATGATCAAAAAGAGATCTACGAGGTGAACTTAGCAGTTACCTAGCGAAATTCAATCTCACTTTAGACGAATCAGTGCCGAAACGCGATAGTATTTATCTGAGCCTTCGAAAGGCTTAACCTATTGACGTTAATTAGGGCAAATTGAAAGTCTTATTAAAACCCATGATTTCAATGCGACTGTTGATTGCGAAGCGTAAGATTGGACAAAGCACCGTTTTGCGGAGATGTAAAGTGCTTTCATGTGAAAAGAAATTATTCCACTTCACTCCGAATTGGGGAAATCGATTTTTGCTACATACACTATGTACCTTGTTACCCCATATATGATGCTACATAAAAAGTACAGTATACACTTCTGTGATATAATACTTACGATCCGCTGCTAGCAGCCGTGTGAATCAGATCGACAAACTTAGCCGACGGTTTGCTAACACATATATGGCGATTTTCAAATTTTGGCGCCACAGGCTCTAAAGCTGCAGTGTTCTCTTGTGCGCCGGGGTCTCTTCGCCGCGTACATGCTCGGTCGCGTTCATTCTAGTACCACAAGTGGAATCAGCTTATGGCGAGCATCCTTGCATTTTAGCAATGAACTTAGCCTGGCGTTGCTTGTTGGCATGACTATCAGGTTTACGTTGTACGTCGCATAGTATCTCTTCTCTATCTTTCAGTCGACGGTTTACAGTCACTTTTGGCACTTACCGGCTGAAGGCTATATCAGATCGGATCGTACATAATTCTTTGATCACTGAGAGGTAAATCCGCATCCGTTCACTCTAGGATTAATTAGTCAGCTCTGTGGTTCTACTGCATCATGTCGATTTACTCCGTTAGGGCTCCAGTACCGCCATTACGGCCTTAACCCACAGTTGGCGTAACATTGCGCTCACTGATGAGTTGTGCTCTTTCATTCTAGCGTGTAACCAGTTAACCTGTTCGCTACCTTGACTAAGCAACGTTTGGCAACTGTAGGTAACAGCTTATCGCCATCTGTTGCCATTTACAGTTACTCTTTTTAGGTTACAATGGTTTCGGCTGCATACATATCCTTAAAAGTAAACTTTTTCTTATCTAAAAATATGAAAGGTGTAATTTTGTTGTTGATTCTTTTCGAGGCGTTGGCCTAGAACCGCTTTTAGTGGAACGGTCAGATGAGCATTTTACTAGAAGCTCACATAGCCCTTCACTCGGGACGTGAAACATCTCTGTCTTCGAATACAATTTAGCAGATTGGAAGGTTCGAGGAACGACAGCATAATATTCTATTGCGAAACATACAAACGGTGTATTCGAAAGCAGTACAAGATATTCACACGTTTCTGTGTCGGAAAGTCCTTGTCATCGTAGAGATATAGGAACAAAGCGATGCATCGTTATGGCCAAGACTCGATGTAGCGCATTCCCCTAGGGAGAGAACAGCGTTAGTCTTAAAAAAAAGGAAACACAAAATTGATGATGCCCTTTGCCGTGGTAATGATAATCGTAGGAGAAGCCATACATTTTTGTTTACGTATAGGGATTAACGATTTTATGAATCGTTCTACAAAGTCACCGGTTATTCGGTGGATAAACTCTCTCTCTAACCAAAATAGTCCGCGAAGAATCGTGCATCCTAAGCTCCTGGCCTATGGGGTCATAAAGCATATGTTTTGCGTATGTGTCTTATAAATCCGTTTAAAGTTTCGCCAAACTAACAATAAACACGATAGTCTTTGCACGGAAATGATTTTCAAACAGACAAAATGACACACGTTTATCACACACGAAGCAACAGTTAATAGGCTATGCGCATAAATACCACAGTTCGTCTATTTTCATGATTTTTCCCTTGATCGTCCTAACTGCGTCCTAACGATTTCGCCCATGCATAAAGCAGACACCATTAACTATTGTATCGTCCAAAATCTATCGTAAATCTAGCACAATTCCTAACGAGCTCTTTGGCTCTTCGACTGGCGAGGTTAACTAATTAGGTTCGATGAAGCGCAGATTTCCCCTAACCTCAGCCAGTGGTGTACAAAGTCTAAAAACACTATGAACCGGAGGTTACAAAACGCTTCGATCATATATACATATTGTTCGATACGTTGTTATATATCTTGTGTATTTATGTTGAAAATCTTCGGTGGACATAGAGTAAAAACTTGGAACGAGAAAGGCCACAGTACGGTGGCAAGCACTATACGTAAAATTTTGAATTATCTTTTGAGTCAACAAAATTTAAATTCCCAATTCACCAGTAATGCTGACCACCATAATGTGGCCTTTCTCGTCGTGGGTTTTCACCTTACGTACACCGAATATTTTTCTATAAACGCGCTAATTTATATCAAACCAGTTCGAAGCTCTGTATCCTCGATATCCAATCTGCGGTCAGAGGTCAAGGAGGATTAATCATTAACAGCTTGTTTCATGCAGACTACTACACTTGTTGAGGAGATCTTAGTAAGCTATGACGCGAAAAGAAACAATATGTTTATTGTTTCTTTAAAAAAACGTAATATATTGCTTTAGGTTTATATGTTTATAAACCTAAAACAATATATTACGTTTTTTTTTTTTTTTTTTTTTATAGAAAATAGCAATACGATTAAGGAATGTTTAGTTCTTGTAAATCTGTAGCGTTATCGAATTAGAGAACTCTTCACACGTACGAACAGCAAAATGTAGAGTGATTGCATTCGGCAGGGCTTTCATCAGCTTCCATAATATGACCGCTACCTGACGTTCCGCGACCTCCACGTTAACCAGCGCGTCAAGGTAACCTGGAAAGGAGCAACCTTTACGAGTATTACCGCTCTGCCTTGTAATGATGTGTACATACGTTGTATTGCAAAATATCTTAGGCTATTAAAAACGACCCCATCGTAACGGGACCAATTGGGCTAGAATGATTCTCATTAATTCTTGATATACTAGTCCGGGGACCCTGCTGATGTCTGAATAGCAATAAACCACATACATGCTTTCCCTTCGGATGCCGATATGTGATCACCGCCGCAATCCTCGTTCCTAAAACCTTGCTAAAACACTCAATGCCTAATATATATACAACCATTGAAGCTTATATAGTGCATTGTGCATTCAAGGTTGTGCATGTTCTTTGGTAAACTTAAAGTTTGCGGATTATGCATGCTACTTCTTGATACTTGCGACTTGATATTTTGGAAACGGATATAAATGCTTTTCCATAAGAAATAAAACACGAAGGATTCAGCTTGTGAGAATGATAAACAAGTAAATGCGACTCCACATTTAAATTTGGCAACAAAAAAATGAATAATGATAACTTCATTTTTATGATTAATTTCTAGCTTAGGACTATTTGACATTATACTGATACAACCCGGCGTAAAACTACGCTGGTTCAGGCGGTACGCCCTAAGGCAGCAAGGCATTTAACAGGGCTCGATGGGCTTCAATACGCAATTGGGTTGATCTCGAAACGTTTAGAAGTCCATTTCTCAGCAACTTACTCTCATTTCAAATAGCAATAGCTTTGAACTTATGCTCTAGATCTGTGAAGAAGGTCGACTATGATCCTAAGGCAGTTTCACGCTCAATGCTAGTTGTCTTAGAGATACCTTTTTACAAAATGACTAACTTGAAGTTGTCATACGCTAGACTTTATTCAATAGCAGTTCAAATTGCGACCGCACACTTTGTCAGCCTGTCTGAGAACAAAATATCTATAGTCACGCTATTCTTTTAGGTCCAGTATGCATGAATAATTGTATCCCTAGCGGTGAACTCGTCAAGGACTAGCGGAAACGTCACTATAACCTTCCGGCTCTGGGCAGAAGCATAGACGGTTAAACTAAAATATAAAGAAACTATTTAATTGTCCTTGCAGTGATAATTTTTTGTTTATTAGTAACTATAGTCCATCTTAGCACGAAAGCAAATAAATATATATACGTACATATATATCATACGAATGATTGATGATGTACAGCACGTTTACGTAGGAGGTTTCAGTTCACACAGAGATTACTGATTCCTTTCCGAATCAGTTCAATCTGAAGCATCTTTTCCTTCGCAAATACCTTAGGCTTGCATTAGGAAGATTTGGCCTTAAGGCTTAAACTACATATATTGCACCTACTGCATCCTGGTTTCAGCTTGTCTGTGCAGATTATACGTTCAGTTCATTTATTTAATTACTGCCAAGAACACCACCGTACCGCATAACCCGTTTGAAAAATTCTTAGCAAATCTTCAGGAGTGTATTTATTTCTGATCACAAAGAAGTGCTAGGATATCAAAGTGTGGAGAGAGAGAGAGAGAGAGAGAGAGAGAAGACCTTGAAGAAGCTGAACATAAACTTGGCCCGGCTGTTTTGTTTCAGCCTTGAAAAAAATCGGGCGGTCTACTTTGAAAAATAATTTCATTGTTTTTGTAGCAACATCGAAATTATAACGCCAAAATAATCTTTCTTAAAAATGCACCTTCATTAAAAAGGACTTAAAGGTTCCGATCGGATCACTCAAGGAGTTAAATGATTGCCGTTTGCGACGGCTGTTATTCGTGCCGAAGAGAATATAATGGATAAATATATGTGTAGAAATCAGTAATATACTTAGAATTCATTATTAATTTCAAACGCTTGCAACAGTATAGCCATTATACGAGCTCTGTCTCTGAAAGTTCTATTACTGTACAAATATAACAAGAGATTTTATTCCCAAAATGGAAACCCACTGAGATCATGGCGGTACCTTGCCACGGCGTTAACTGTGAAATACCGATCTACAGTTATCCGTTTCGTTTGAAGCATTCAGCGAGGCGGAAAGAACTACATATGCATAGTATATTTTTTTACAATCTAGTAAGCGTGATATTTACAAATATGCTTATTTGACTGCGTAATGGGCACGTAATTGCGGGTACATCGGAGAGTGTGTGTGCAATAGTGTGGCGAAAGAGCCAGGGGTTTGAGGCGGATTGGGCGATATTATACTAAAAAAAAATACCAACAAATGAAAAGGTGCATATATGGGTCTGCAACGCTATTGTACGGCACTATGAACAGTACGCTAACGGAAAAGAAAAACAGTTCTGGACTTATCCTGAATGTCAACGGTGACAATTACTTCGAAATATTCGAAATAGGTCGAAATATTACATCAAGATAATCGATACTCCAAGGCAGTATGCCGCTTTCCTTCAACACGCCATTGTCTCTATCAAAACAGTTCATCGTACTAGTCAGGTTCGATGCACATTTTCTAGTGCGCCGCTAGTACGCTGTCTGTAATATTTGGCCGTTTGTAACGTCCGCCAACTTTTGGATCGATCTTCCATGGCCGCTGACTCGAAAGGTAACAGTTAACAGTGTCGCACATACATTTTTCTGTAACACTATGACCGGTAACAGTATAATGACACCAGGAACAGGGGTATTGGGGCTGATAACCTAACGGTGAGGTGAATTCGACGAGATGATGCTTAAATGCCTAAATGTGATAGACACTAACTGAATTGATTCAGTTCTAAGGGCTTCATTAAGCCGCCAACAGATATTACGTGAGCTAGGCCAAGTCACATGCCTGTCAGGATCTGTTTGTTGAGTTAAGTAATCTTGCCAGTCATATGGCCGCTGAAAAATCTACAGGACCCGTATCAGCCAGAATATCCGAAGCTACGAACAGTGCCTAAACGTGTCTTTATTCGGTGAACCTATCGAGTATGATCGAGCTAAGGTTCTGTTTCGGGCAAGGAAATTTACTTACCGACTTTACAGATCACAGTAACTTATTCACGAGCAGGGGCTGCTTATATGCAATATTGTGACAAAAAATGCTCGAATTGATTCACAATATGGTGGCATTGAGCTTCTCGATTCGACTGATGCTGTGAGTTTAAAATGAATTGGGTTTCAATAGATTAGATCTCAAAGCTATACAGCTATATATATATATATATAAAGCTATACACGTGAAGTCGTTAATTTTCTACTTCTGTCAAACATGTGTAGTGTGAAAGGGCCTAGTTGCACACGGCAGGTAGCTAAGTCAGTTCTGTGTCGTCACAGTAATAATATCGATTTAGGCCAAAATAACTTCTTTTACCTAGGTACTGTATTAATATAGTCGTTCAGAACCTTGATTGCATTGTCCTTCCGGTTAGGTAGTGCATACATTGCACTATTCCTCTGCGGTAATGAACCTGAACAAAGGCAGAACGTTCGTGTATTGCATGCAAGTCTGTGTGACATTGGGCAATTAGCTGGAATTTACAGTGGGAAACCGATCCGATCGTGTCCACAACGGCGTATCCGTATCAGGAAATCACTCGCACTTGTAGAGCATGACGGCACTTCACTATCCGCTAATCGGTCGACTAACGTCATTGCATTCTGCCTCCTGTGTCACAGAGTACTAGTAATAACAGTGTAGTGTTTCCAATATGCATTAAAGTGCCAGTTTAAAAACATAGTAGCTCGTCCTGAACTGCCGTTAGATAAACAACAAAACTGATGCATCTGTATCTAGCTGACTGAACTACAGTTAAACTCTGTTATTAAGTTTACGATCCGAACAAAGATCAGTTAGATGCACGTACGTACGTATGTATGTACGTGCAGACGCCCTCAGCACCCTCTAACCGTTAGAATTACTGCTTCGCTCAGGCTGTTTGCTATTAATAATATGCCATAGATCTCTAAATGAAGGGAGCCGGCCTTCGTTCACGTAACTGTCTTGCGCCCCTATTTGGCTAGCTACAACTGAATTTCCCGATTCGCATAAGGTTCTTTAATTTCATTAGGAACTGAAAGGAGAAAAGCTGCCCTAAAATCCATCTTCGGACCTAGATGTAAAGCTTTTAAATTAAATGAGAATCTCTTTACTGTTAACAGCAGCCTGTATACATATATTCTGCTACGTATCAGTTTTCGAACACGAATCGATTCCAGCCGCTGTGATGGAATCGCGCGGTTTTTCAAACGTTTACCAGGAAGGCGCCGAATTTCGACTTGATCTCCAGATCGTCCAGTAATACTCGTTGAGCATCATTCAAACATCTTTCCGTTGTTTCTTTAGCAATAAAAGAACTAACAGACAACCGGCCCTTTCCGAGGGAAGATTTTCTTTTTTTTCGTTACATTCTATATTGCTATCAATTCTAGACAAGGACACTAAACTATTTTCAAACTCGAAACATTGATTTCGACATATTCCAGTTTTCTTAGCTACAAGGTATACTAATATGA